ATATATGGATGCGGGCGCACTTCCTCTGCCCGGCTGCCACGGCACGCAAACGCATTGCCCCGATTTGAAAACCGGTTGCCCCGTTTCGACCCCGCTCATTCCCTCTCCTCACCGCTTCCATTCGCTCGCTCCCGTCCCCTTTCACCGCTCCGAGAGTCCTCACTCTCCCGCAACCAGCCGCCCCGACGCTACTCTTTCCCTTGCCTGCTCTTCGTGAGAGGATGACGTACATACTGTGCTTTTCGCCCGTGATTTGTTTGCCAACTTTTTCCTCAATTCTTTTCGTATTTTTTCGTTTATACTTCCGTTTACTTAATATTGAATGACCTATGAAAATGCAAAAGCGTGATCATTTATATTTTAGAGCAAAGTTCTGAAATTTCGATGTTTCTGCTACAGCGTTCCCTGCGACACCAGTCTTGGCATGGACAGGCATGTACCTATATTCGTGTACTGGGCGCGTCGTTTGATGTGTTTCTACTTTCATGTTGAGTATTGGTAGTTATGATCCCAGAAATAATAATTGTCGACTACACCATTGACTGGAAACTAATTTGATAAAAAGTTATATTTTCGATAACAACATAAAGGAATACAGTAGACAAAGTAACGTAACGGATTATCGTTGACATTTGTCTCTACGTAGTAATGGAATACATATGAGACGACCCTGGATAAACCAGCAGAACGTTTCTTGAGTTCGTTAAGACTAGACCAAGGGCTTCTCTGTTGTGGGTTTTATGCAACAGTACGCATGATTTGCTTAAGATAGTATCAATGATAAGTTCATAGTGTTCGAATTTATTGATATTGTTGATTACTAGAGATTGCAGACGCTTGAGCGTCTAAGATCATTAGCCCCGTGTTGGGCATGCTTTTGCAGCGGGGACGCGTGGGAAGTGATCTTGCGCCACTGGATGGCGCGATCCGGCGCCGACATACGTCCTGGGTACCGCCGGCATACCTGGGTATCCCCAACCAGGTATCTCCCACTAACGGGATACCTCTTCCAGCCTTCCATCCCTAAGCTCTCGACCAGCCTCCCGGTGTGTGTAATAGTGTAGTGCATGTAAGTATAAGTAAGGGGTAGAACAAGACAAGAAATAGGAAGGAAAGATCGCGCGCGGTGCGTGGCCTGTTTGATAGGGAACTACTCCGGCATTCACCTGATCTTAGAGAGCGGAGAAGTTCATCAAACTTCGCTTAAGTTGTCACTCTGTAAGATGAAAGTTTTGTTATTAAATTGTTATTTTTGTCGGTGAGAACGACTATTAGTTCTTGCAACAAGAAGCTGTTGATAAGTCAATGACACATCTGTGAGACTCTGATCATTGCGACTTTACAACAGTATTACTTCGTTGCAGCCGAGAATTTTTTGCAAAAGTGTTCATTTGCAGTGGAAGAAAACGTGTGCAGTATCATGCGCGCTTGTCGTCATGGAGGAGAGGTCACGCGACAGAGACTCAATCTGGCGTTTGTTGGGGACATTTACCTCTGCAGTTTTCTCGCTTTTTCTCCTCCTCCTCCTCCTCTTCGTCCCTATGCACTGCCTATTACATTTCGTCCTAGATCATCGTAATTCCCTTGTGTTTTCTCTTTTGCATTCCCACTACATTTTAACTTTCACGCATTCTTATATTACTTGTTTTTCTGAGATATTTTAGGACAATAAAAGCTCCACGCATTTATTCAAACATCGATAACTTCTCGTAAAAAATAAGCAATAATTCATGTGAAGATCCCTCATCAGAAAGCCAAACTTGTATGGTCAGTTAATAATGAATGTGATCAAATGAAGGAATGGGAAAAATATATTAGTAACAAATCTAACCTGAAATCTTGGAATGATATAAGTAATTTAGTAAATTGATTTAAAAATTGAATTGATCGTGGGCAATAAGACTGATATTAGAAAAATAATTCTAAATATAAATTAATTACTGTTTCTGCAAAATAATATTGTAATATGTGCTAAATTGATGCGAATCATTTAATACAGCTTACTACAAAATGTGAAAGTTGAATATGCTACTTTATTTTAAAGACATGTGGGACACACTTATTTGTGCTAGTTAGTTAATTTAAGGCTTAATAAATCTTACATCATTTTATTTCCAGCGTTCCTTTATTTTTTATCCATTTTTTCCACTCCGATCCTTTCGTTTCTTTTCCCAACTCGTTGCAGTACCAATCCTGTCCTCATTTTTGCCCGGCCCTTCCCCGTCCATTTCTAAGCCCTGCTCTTTCCTCCAACCGTTTCCATCATCCCCTGTATGATCGAGCCTGCGGGCACCCGTCTGGCGATGATCGGAAGGCGTAATCGATACGTGATGGTTTGTCGAGGCTGTCGAAGCTTGAAAGTTGTTTGGCAGCTGTGGGGTGCAGTGACCGCAAATGTTGCCGTGGCATCCCGCTGAGCAACGTTTTGATTAGCTTTTGTCAAGGGATCTCATATGTGGAATGTGATGTGGACTGATAGCTCTCGATTACACAATGACATTGTCTGAAAGACAAAAATATCGTTTGAAACATTCCTTTATTGATCTATTGTGTGAATTGTAAGTTTTTGGGGAACACGTATGGATTTTATGTCTGATATTTTTTGTTGGAAATGTGGACTACGAGACGTGAATGCGGGCGGTGAAGGAAAGGGATAGGATATATTCTTCACTTCACAAGCTTTCTGTCGATTGATTTATTAGCTGGCTAGTAATTTTCTAACAATTTTGTAATTTGTTATTGTTTTAAAAGTTTTCTTGTCTTTATCTTACATTATAACATAAAATTATTTTCAATTAATTATGGATCATATGAGTAGCTGAAATACACGGTATAATAAAATATATCAAACTAATTGTGTACATATTTGAAAATGTTTTACAATAACAATTTTTCTTAATTTTTTAATATTCGTGGACATTGTATACATCGTGGACCGTCATTTTCTTTAAGTTTCGGTGTCTTAAAATTTTGAATAAATGTCTACGTTCAATCCTATGTAGAGGGATATAGTCTTCAAAAAAATATTAAATGATTATTATTTTCGTAAATATTCTGGAATCGGTGTTCGTGAAGTAGTACTTAGTGATAACACTTAACAATCTTGACAAGCCTACGCAACCAATCTTCGACACAATTGCAAATGAGATGAACTAAACTAACGTCTGCACAGTACACTGGATTCATTGAATACTATTGTGTAAAGTATAGAATAGAATGCCCTTAAACAAAGCTCAAAATGTATCCCTCTGCTGACGTCCGATGTCTCACCGTCAGCCGTGAGGTCTCGTCGCCTACGGTCTCCCAGTCTTCAACACACGTTGAATAGTAATGTCTTTACTATAATTCACGACTAATATTGCAAGGTAAATACTACGCTTAATCAACACTTCATTTTTAAATGTTTACTTAGTCATTGTTTACTATTTTAACCGACCACTTACTAACTACAAGAGTTGTATTATTATTTAAAAACCACACTAATGGTTGTTACCCTTACTTCCTTGACAGAATCTTTGGTAATTTCCATCTAGCATTACATTTGAAATTATATAATTAATTTAAAGTTAAATAATTTTTTTATTTTTGTTGTTTAAATATTTAAAAAATATATTAATGGAATTTCACGGAACTATTTTATTTTCAGTGTACTGAAAAAAAAGTTCAATAAGACTGTGTGTCTGTAAAGCTATTTATTCAATCAGCTTACCCTTACCGTTGTGGTTTCGTTATCCACTTTTACCTCTGGCTAAATGCAGAATGTATTTGGGGTTATAATTTTGCTTCAGGGGAGTGTTGTTCGGTAGAGATCTCAGAAAAACACGTTTAAGCGGTGTGATATTTAAATATTAAGTATATCGCGTTAAAGTCTATTAGTTGTTAGCGATCATTTCTACAGTGCAATGGGATGTAATCAAATGTAGATTATATTATTTCGATATCGACGCCACATACAAGGTCTGATTAATATATTAATGATATGAGCGTGAGGAAACTTGAGAACCTAAAACTGAAAATACGTAACAAACAACCATTTATAATCGTAAAATATTATTAATAGTACGATGCTCCATAGATTTTGAAAACGATTTTTAATTAATTATATTGATTTTTATTAGTCGAGAAATAAAATATCTATAAAATGATTTCGGAGTGATTTTGATAACGTCATTAGTAAGTATGTATTAGATAATGTTTTAAATCAGATTTTTGGCTCTAAATAATTTTTTTTTTCGTTAATTCAACGTATTTTTTAACGTATTCAACGCTCTTTTTATTAAAACACGTAATCATTTTCAAGAATTTATTACCTGTCTTAAATCGAAATATCGAAGATTTATGAAGAATTTTAAATCAGTTTCAATAATAATTAAAAATATCTAATAAAGTAGTTAAAAAAATTTTCATTTACCGTTACATATATATATATATATATATATATATATATATATATATATATATATATAATTTTGTATAAATATTTTAAGAGGCCCCCAAGCAGGTGCTTAAAGCGCATTATGAGTAATTGAATGCCTAGTAACAATTTTCCGTTAAGTAAATAAATCCTAAAATTAATAAGTAAAAAAGAGAGCGCACGGCCACAGTAGAGTGATGTGTAAGGTAGGAAGGGGAACTTTGGGCTTACTTGGATGGCGCAGAGCGTCATGACGAGGCCGCAGACCCAGCCGCTCTTCTCCTCGAAGAACCAGGTGAGCTCGTCGACGCAGCCGTAGAAGAAGGCGTTGCCGGTGACGGAGTCGCGGCACTCGCTGGGCAGCGGCTGGTGCAGCAACAGGTAGTCGCTGGGGCCGTCGGCGCCGCAGCAGCCCACCTGCGCACGCGTGCGCACCACGCGCATTAGAGAGTCGCGGCGAACGATTTGTGCGTGTTTTAAATCGCACCGTAGCATACGGTGCGATTAAAACAAGTCAAATCTTTTCTGCTGCAAAAGGGTTTCTGTATAATTAGAGGCCAATGGCCAAAAAACAAAATAATATATAATATAAATAATAAAGTAAGTAATATTTAAATACTTAAAACACTAAAGGTTTTTGTTTAGAAAGCAATTAGAGCTATCTACTAAAATACTTTCGTGATTTTTGCTTTGAATGAAAAGTAGAGGGGCCCAGATTGTTGCAGGCTATTTTCTTCAGATTTTATGATATAAAGATTTAATTTTAATAAAATGGTAAAGTTAATAGAATAGACGCTTATCTATCGTCATTGGTTCATTCATTACGTCATTTTGAAGACCAACTACAAATGAATAGAAGGATATCCTTGCACCATGAGGTTATATTTGAGCGAAGGAATGATACGAGGTTTTAAGTTAGAAGATTGACAATTTTTAAATGTAAATGTTAGTGAATGTAGTACATATAACAATAACATCAATATCCACCAGGGGTGATCTGGGCTGTCCGGGTGACGCCGCGTCGCAGGCTGAGTTCCTCAGGGCTGAGGCAGACCACGACAAGATGGTCGAAACGTCGGCAACACAGCCTTCGACACGGCGTCACCCGAACAGCCCAGATCACGTACATGACTCTGGCCGCGGAAGCCTACGACTTCATTCAATATCCACCAATCGACTTGACAGTCACATGTGCCCCTTTACAAACATTTTTCAGTGATAATGAAGTTAAGTTTTTACTTTCTCGTCCTTCGTAAGAAAAAAAATATTGTAATCGTGCACCCGAAAACGGTGAATTTTCTTCCGAATAATTCTTATTGTTGAACCCTGATAACTAAAACGTGGAAAATCTTGTTCTTATACATTATAAATTACGATCTTTAACATATTGTGTAGGCAAAATAAATGTTTTCTGGCTCCTTATACCGAAATATCGATTGACGGAAAACCGTCTGTCTGTACCTCTGTCTCTCTGTGGTCAAAGATAGGGCCTAGATCGTTCAACTAATTACCCCAAAAATTGTTAATCCCCGATCGATTTAAATGAACTCGTGGTTCGCTGAGTTTCAAACGAATATTTTGATTTTTGAGGAAACATTATTTGAAGAGTCCACATTTTCATAATTTTCTTAAAAATAGCTCCAAATATTTTGATTAAACTTTGTCTTCGGATAGTCTAAAGGACGCTTAAGAAAAAACCGCAGGTCTCATTTCACTTGAAATCCTTCATTTTCGAAAATTGCAAAAGTTCACATTTTTTCGGCATCTTCAAGATATTGAAGATAGAGATTTTTATCCTTAATGAAATTCGTTCTTTAAAGATATATCTTGATATAAGGTCACGTACAAATTTTCGAAAATATGAGTAGTTTTTGTGAAATTGTGAGTGAATTATACAGTAATTAATTTTAAATTGTTTCAAACAACTTTTTTTCTCAAGAATGGCTCCAAATTTTGTCTTTAAATTTTCTCTTCTTGTGTAACAAAAGACGGTACAAAATTGTGCTACTGTCATTTTCAGCGAACTAATGTTATTTTCGAAAATTACAAAATGTTAACATTTCAAAACTACAAATTTCAAGATAGAGATTTTGTCGTACAATTGTTTTAAAAAATCGACTTTTTAGAAGTAGTCATGTCAACGTTCCATACAATGTATGTGTATCGTACAGTGTAGTACGATAATTTCGCTGTGCGATGCTCATTTACTTCAGTTTCTCAGTGGAAACCCGTCGGCAAGTCCCGGTTTTATTGGCAGCTTTCAGGGACGCCTGAAGAGCCCTTACGTCATACACAAGTGGCAATCACCAACTTCATTTAATCGGACTTTTGACAGAACACTGGTTCTGGTACCCAGTAAACGGTACGCTACAAACTAAGCTAAGAGAGGAAATTGATTCGATGGCGACGATTATCTGCAGCAATCGGAAATGAAGTTAGGTTATGTTAGGAGTGGATAATAACAAATACACAATGTCACAGAATTAATGTTCCAAATTTTCAGGGCATGCGGGGGACGTAGGTGATAACTTTTTGCCAAAAAACCAGTGGTGGGGAATTTATTATTACGAAGTTCCACGCAAAACATTTGCCTCCGAGTGATGCAATGGTATTTGGCAGTACATATTCTGACGCTTTCAAAGATACTTATTTCACTTGTCAATTAGCATATCTAATGATGATCTATCACGTTTTTCTGTCTGTCCGTGAAGATCACAAATATCACATAATCTTTATAAATCCATGTAAATATTTCAAAGGTTCGTTTGTTTTCATCAATAAAATAATTTTAACTTTGATATTAATATATTCATATAAATGTAGGTACATTTTCTAATTCACAGGAGTTAAAAATTCTGCATAATCACTTTTGTAACGTGACGTACATAGCCAATTTAAAACATAATTTCAGCTTTTGCGTTAAAGTAGTCTAATTAGCCGTCATTGTAAATCCCCTTTCATGGCAGTTGCTTTAATGATAAACGGGAAGTTGTTGAATTAGGGCGTTCTCTAGACTTCTGTTGCGCATCGTCAGAAGTTTCGGTGGCTCCCATTTCGGAGATAATGCGCAGCTTACGGGAAGTTCATGCGCGAAGAGAGCCGTTACTTTCACGGCTCTCCCCTCATTTAGTAATTCCGAGAAGAGGGCTAAGTTGTCGTTATTATGTGCGTGACAGCTCTTTCGTGCGGCTCGTCAAGTCGAGCTCGTCCCAAGTTTTCCGCGGGACAGCGCCACCGGCCGTGTGCTATTGCCTCCAAGCGACGTGCGGCTGGCCCGAGCGCTTGGAATAGGCTGGCAGGGAAAGTGCGCGCCAACTAGCGCTATGCGCGAAAGGGAACTTCCAGAAATACCTCTTCACTACGCAATTGTCCTTGGCAGAGCACCGCGGAATGTGAGTAGCTCAGGACTTCGACGACTGAGTTAGGTCGCCTCTCCGGTAATGTCGGGTAATCTGAGGAAGACAGGAAACAACGGCGACGTCCAAATATAGACTCAAAGGGAATTTTAGAAGAGGGAGGTAGGTGGAGGTCAAGAACAATGTTTGGTTAGTAGAACGTCCATCTGTGGTTTGCGTTTTAATTTAGGTGTGGGTTTCGTATTTGAAGAACTGGAACTGGTCTGCTCTTTTACCAAACGAGACTTTTTAAAAATCAAACTAATGTTGAATTTATGTATAATTGTAAGTATTTAATTAATTATACACTGATCAACATAATTTTTTCACTTGAAACCTAAGTTGTTAATGGGTTAAAGGGAAATCAATTTAGCTGTACCATTTTATTAGTAATGCTATCTTCTAAATATTAGTCCGGCTTAAAGTCATAAAGAATATTCAAAGTGTCATGCTTTCCGTATACTATACAGATGGACGAGATTTTCAGAAATGTTTCATTATATTTTCCCCCTCCTTTGGTATAAAAAAGAGATCATCGAACATAGAGAAAAAAACTGTTGGATTGTATTAATTTAATAAAATTCCATTTCTCCACACTAGGGAAAAATGAAAAAAAAAGAAATAATCAACGCCAACTACACTAGACTACGCAAAGAAAGGGCACGTCTCCTATTCCTTGTGACGAGCCTTCGTCGCTGTATAGTTCCACGACAGCGCCCGAAAGTTTACGTCGTCACCCTGGCAAGGACAAGGAAGATTGCCGTCTCGCCGCTCTCCACGTCTCTTTAATTTCAAACACGGTTCTCACGCGGAAGTCTTTCGGCGGCGCCGCGCGAGGAAAAGAATTCATTCCGTCTATGCGGCGGCGCACGGCGGCGCAAGGGTAATGAAGGCCCCGGGAACGACTCTCTTCCAAGGCGTTGAGGACGGCGAGGGACGGGGACGGGGAAGGGCAGCGAGGGACGGCGGAGGGCAAAGGGTGGAAGCGGTGGTGGAAGGGGATCGGTGCAGAAATGCGCGTGGAGGAGGGAGGGGAGGCGGGGAACGACAGGAACCGGAGAGGAGGCGGCGGTCTTTGGCAGGGGACGGCGTTGGCGGCGGGAGAGAGCGGTGGAAGTGGTGCAGTACGGGGACGGTGATTGGCGGCAGAGGGGCGGCGCGGAAACAGACGTGGGCGGTGAGTGAGGAGGGGGATGGCGGGGGCGAGACGTGGAACGAGGCAGGGCGCGGCAACGAGGATTATCAGATCGAGGGCGATAAAAAAAGATATTTCCCTCCTTCCGAGGCGTCGTCGACGTTCTCGTCTCCGCTCCCGCCCCGCCCTCCGCTTCCGTTTGCTGCGGGGAGGCAGCTCAATATCCGGCGCGTGTACCTGCGGGATTAAACAATGGAGCGAGACTAAGGAGGGGGAGAGCTCGGTGAGGGTCTGAGGTACCATGCGAAGGCAGTGCGGAGACGAGGGCTGGAGAAGATGGCGAAGTGAGGGCTGTATGAGGCGAGCATTGCCGAGGTATTCGGGGATAGTTTTTCGGAATGGATATATGGGACAGGATCGGAAGACGAGGCTGGGAGAAGATGGCGAAGTGGGGCTGTTTGAGGCGAGCATTGACGCGGTATTCGGGATAGTTTCGGAATGAATAATATGGGGCTCGTTTATGAAGAAGAGTTGACGAGGTAAGTAATGGACACAATAAATAATTAAGGGAGAATGTTAACGATGTTGAATGATTCACGATGCGGAGATCTGTGGCTTAATAAGAAGGGTAAAGGGTGTGAGAATATAATGGAACATGAATCTAGTTTACGAAAACATTTTCTGAAAGAGACGTATAAAGAAATGTGGGAAGAGCAGACAAAGAGGCAAAAGTACCTAACATGTTCCGAGAGAAATTCTTCCTAAGCAACGATGCCGGGAGAGAACAGATGGCCGGAAAAGGACAGGATGGAATGTGAGCTAATGGCGGTGTGAGACTGAGAAAAGAGGCAGTATCTCATAATGTTCTTAAAGTGACTATGATATTTAAATGAATTATACAAATATGAATGCTTTAATGAGAGGCGAGAGTTAATATTACTGTAGTGCTGCACCTTGAAATATGTTAAATTAT